GTCAGACTACTTCTATGGTACTTGTTAAAGTTATAGGTCAGACTACTTCTATGGTACTTATTATTTGAGACTACCTCTGGTACTTGTTATTTGAGATTACTTCTTTGATACTTATTGAGATTACTTCTTTGGTACTTGTTATTTTAGACTACTTCTTTGGTTCTTGTTATTTAAGACTCACTTCTTTGATACTTGTTATTTGAGACTCACTTCTTTTGGGACTTGTTATTTGAGACTCACTTCTTTAGTACTTGTTATTTGAGACTCACTACTTTGATACTGCAACTGTTTGAGTCAGTGTTTTTGAGTCATCGGCTCCTTCAGTACTACTGCAAATGACGCCATATAGTGTAAAGTGTCATACGGACGGAAAAACATAATTTCATATCGCATTATAATTCGTCTCTCTAATATATATCAAAAAATAGTTTTGGAGACACTTTGCATGTTTTTGATGACACTATTGATCATTTAAAAATGCACTGAAGTTTTTTAAAACATAATTATAATAAAATATTTTTAAAATGCTGGAATTAACAAACATTTAAACAATAATATATAATCATTATTTTCCCGAGAATCCGTGAACGCTGCTTATGCTCTTCAAGTTTCCCGCAAATTATGAAGTAACATTTCAAAGAATTTATCACTGTCTCTTTCTATTTACATAATGTATTAATAATCTCAAGAAGCTGAATGAAATTTGAGAATCAAGCAAATTTCGATAAATACAAATCCGTGGTTTCCCCTTGTGGAGTGCTCCCCCCTTAGAGTTTCTCAGAAATAATTGAGTTGGTGGCCAGGGAAGAAAACATTTAACTGCCTTGACCCTTGAAATTCAGGGGGAACTAACCCTGGCGACAAAAACCACGGAACTCCCATCTGCCCAGTATTGTTCTTCCATTTTGCGGTCTCCTTTTATTTCGAAGGCCTAAATTGTTCTTAATTACCGCGCGGCCGGACCGCCCGTGTTGGAGGTTGAACCCCGAGCACAGCGCTCCAGTTCATCAGATTATTGCGTGGCCAATGTTTCAATTGGATTGAAGATCCGTAATCAATTGGGCTTCTGTAGTTTCTTGGCCGAATTTTGCAATAATTCTGATAAAATTATGTTTCATCCTTAAAATATCTGACCAGATTTTTTTTTTTTTTTTTTAAATTGTCCGTGTGTTTAATATAACCGTATAAAAGAAAATGGAATTGAAAGTGTGCGTGTTTTACTGGAGAAGGGCGCATATTTGTAGAACGCATTTATGGAGCCCAGCATACGATTTCGACAAAACATATTATTCAAAGTGATTTGTTTAAAAAATAACTAATGGTGTCAAAAAAAGGCGTACATCAGTGGAATAGTTTATTTTTAAGACGAAATAGATGGAGAAATTATGGCGACTTGGCATCATGATTCCAGCTCTTAAGCCGGGGTTCGGAGAGTGCATCTAACCTTGGTAGAATGCATCTAACATTGTAGAGTGCATCTAACATTGGGAGAGTGCATCTAACATTGGGGATTTGTTAGAGTGCATCTAACATTGGGAGAGTGCATCTAACATTGGGGATTTGTTAGAGTGCATGTAACATTGGGAGAGTACATCTTAGATGAAAGAGTGCATCTAACATTGGAAGAGAATATCTAACATTGAGAGAGTGCATCTTACATTAGGAGATTACATCTTACATTGGGAGGCCACATCTAACGTTTGGGGAGTGCATCTTACATTTGGGAGAGAGCATCTAAGATTGGGAGAGTACATCTAACATTGAGATGACCCATCTGACATTGGGAGAGTGCATCTAACATTTGGAAAGTGCATCAAATTCTAACCATGGTTCATAAGCTTGTGATGACTTGCACCGACGCCACACACACATATAATTGTTACTTGTTACAAGTAAACCACCTCCAGGCAAAAGCACACAAAAGAATTTGATTATTTCTCTCACCGCCCTGTCACTGCCCCTCCCCCTCCCCTGCCCTAAAGTCCATTCAGCCCCGTGGCTAGTCACGATGCCCGCTTACATCTTAGTCAGAACTCGTTCAGTAACAAGTTCAGCATTTACCCCACTTGGGACCCGGGGTCTATATTTTACCATTTGACCAACGCCCCCTTTTCACGCTGAATTTCCCCATGGGGGATTTATGGGGTGTATTTTACTATCTCTCCACTCCCTCCCCCCCTACCATATTCTTCGACCCCCTACCAAACCATTTAAACGCCCCTTCCCCCCATGAGAAATCCAGGGTGTACATTCCCCCTCCCCCTCCTCCCCCCTGCCCCATTCCTCTCCGCCCCGCTTTCCTGTCTTGTTTATTTAATGAAGTATAACATGCATAGCAGCGAAGAGCACACAAAGAGGATATGGCCCTGATATAATGACAAGGATGCTACCCCTGCAGCTGCCTGTGCGTCTATCCTCAGAATAGTCAGACTGCAGACTTAATTGGGAATGAAAAGGGAGAGAACGCCAAACGAGAAAACAGCTTAATTTTGCAGTGGTAGCCCCTTTGTGACGTCTCCTCACATAAAAAAAAAAAAAAAAAAAAACAAATGGCTTTGAGAGAAAATTGCCATTATCCTATCATTATCATGGTACGGACCTGGGAGGGGGGGGGTAGGGGTTGTAACGATGGCGAGGGTTATGTCCCTTTGCTCAGGTAATGATAGGGGAAGGAACGCACGCTTGTCCCGTGGCAACGCATTTCGCTACCCGGATTTATTTCTACGCCCTTATGACGGGAGGAGTTCTCTCCCTTCCAGCCCGTGGATTAAACGAAGAGTTAACGCCCGTTCCCGGTCTTACGCCGGAGCGTCGGTCAGGGGATATAAGTCATCACACTGGGGTGTCGGTCAAACCCTCTCTCCACCCCTTTACACCGACACGGCCAGGGCCTTCTCTTTATAGTTTGGGGGAGGGTGGGGGCTGCGGTGACCTGACACGTTGTGGGCTTGTATCTTGTTACAGATTCAGTGTTTGTAGGAATAATTACAGTGTTTGTATGAATAGTTACAGTGTTTGTATGAATAGTTACAGTGTTTGTATCAATAGTTGCTGTGTTTGCATGAATAGTTGCTGTGTTTGTATGAATAGGTGCTGTGTTTGTATGAATAGTTACAGTGTTTGTATGAATAGTTACAGTGTTTGTATGAATAGTTCCTGTGTTTGCTTGAATAGTTATTTTGTTTGTATGAATAGTTTCAGTGTTTTTATGAATAGTTGCTGTGTTTGTATGAATAGTTGCTTTGTTTGTATCAATAGTTGCTGTGTTTGTATGAATAGTTGCTGTGTTTGTATGAATAGTTGATGTGTTTGTATGAACAGTTTCAGTGTTTGTATGAATAGTTGCTGTGTTTGCTTGAATAGTTATTTTGTTTGTATGAATAGTTACAGTGTTTGTATGAATAGTTACAGTGTTTGTATGAATAGTTGCTGTGTTTGTATGAATAGTTACAGTGTTTGTATGAATAGTTTCAGTGTTTGTAGGAATAGTTGCTGTGTTTGCTTGAATAGTTATTTTGTTTGTATGAATAGTTTCAGTGTTTTTATGAATAGTTGCTGTGTTTGTATGAATAGTTACAGTGTTTGTATGAATAGTTTCAGTGTTTGTAGGAATAGTTGCTGTGTTTGTATGAATAGTTGATGTGCTTGTATGAATAGTTTCAGTGTTTGTATGAATAGTTGCTGTGTTTGCTTGAATAGTTATTTTGTTTGTATGAATAATTACAGTGTTTGTAGGAATAGTTAAGTATTTGTATGAATAGTTACAGAGTTTGTATGAATAGTTACAGAGTTTGTATGAATAGTTACAGTGTTTGTATTAGTAGTTACAGAGTTTGTATGAATAGTTAAGGTGTTTGTATGAATAGTTGCTGTGTTTGTATGAATAGTTACAGTGTTTGTATGAATAGTTGCAGAGTTTGTATAAATAGTTGCTGTGTTTGTATGAATAGTTACAGTGTTTGTATGAATAGTTACAGTGTTTGTATGAAAGTTTCAGTGTTTGTATGAATGGTTGCTGTGTTTTTATGAATAGTTACAGTGTTTGTATGAATAGTTACAGTGTTTGTATGAATAGTTCCTGTGTTTGCTTGAATAGTTATTTTGTTTGTATGAATAGTTTCAGTGTTTGTATGAATAGTTGCTGTGTTTGTATGAATAGTTGCTTTGTTTGTATCAATAGTTGCTGTGTTTGTATGAATAGTTGATGTGTTTGTATGAATAGTTTCAGTGTTTGTATGAATAGTTTCAGTGTTTGTATGAATAGTTGCTGTGTTTGCTTGAATAGTTATTTTGTTTGTATGAATAGTTGCTGTTTTTGTATGAATTGTTTCAGTGTTTGTATAAATAGTTGCTTTGTTTGTATAAATAGTTACCGTGTTTGTATGAATAGTTCCTGTGTTTGTATAAATAATTACAGTGTTTGTGTAAATAGTTACAGAGTTTGTATGAATCTCGGTGACATGCAAGCTTGAAAGTCGACGATTTACTTACCATGTTGAGATGACATTTATAAAACAAATACGTTCTAAATGTTGTATATTATAGTGATGTAACAAATCTTATCACATTGTGTTGTCGGTCATTATTTGCATCATTCACAACAGAAATTTTGGGGATGTAACACTGATACACTTATGATCACTAATCTGTATTTATAATGACATCTTTTTGTAATTAAAAAAAATAATCTCAACCACATCGTAAATGGTAATAAACAAATCAGTCTTGACAGTTACCTTACGTTTGAGCTCTCGTCTTCAAATAAAACATAAACATATTTTTTTTCAAATATAGGATATTTATATGAAAAAAAAATCAGCTTGTTTTGTTGACCTTTCTACACAATAGCCTAGCTTTTACCGCTGACTTGACTGGACAATCCACATTTTATTTCTCAGTATGTTTCCGTTCAGGGGCCTCAAGCTCCTTGTCATTTATGTTGTTTTTTTTTTTTGGCTCTGGAAATTAACAGTAATGTGACCTATCTCAATTTTTTTCTTATTCACAGCGTAAAGACCCCCAGTAAGGAACCCCCTAAGAGTAACCCCAGTAAGCGTCACCGGGAGAGGTTGAACGGTGAGCTCGACCACCTGGCCTCCCTGCTGCCCTTCGAACAAAGCGTCATCTCGAAGCTGGACAAACTCTCCATCCTACGCCTTGCCGTATCCTACCTAAGGACAAAAAGTTTCTTTCAAAGTAAGCTTTGCTTTAACTGGTCTTGTTCATGTAAAGATCATTCTTGTGGTTTGGTCATCTAGAGACGAGTGTATGTTTCAAAATACGAAGAGGCTTTAAACCCGTTATGTTAATTCCGCTTGTTTTTTTCACGGTTGGCTGGGTGACAAAATCTTCGGAGGGCTAACTGACCCACTTCCCGTCAACCAGTAGTGCATTTGTAACGTGGCACATTGACTCGTAGCCGATGACTCAACATTCGATCAAATTATCGATATTATATTTTATAAAGGATTTATACTCACAATGATGTTTCTATAGGCTGGTTAAATTAAATTAAATGGTTATGTGTGACAACTCAACGAATGTCACGTGTTCGCATCTAGGAAAAATACTTTTTTCAAAATAAATATGATTTTATTGTGAAATTATTTTTTTTTTTTAAATTTACGGTGTTCAAAAAGCACTGCCTAATGTCATGTGGTTTAGCTTTCATATATACCCTCAAATTGATTCACCCCCCCCCCTCTTCCATCCCTACTTCAGAGGCGAAGCTATGATTAGTGCCATCGGTGGGATCCAAGATTTTGGCCATTCCCCCGGCCACGAAAAAAAAAAGAGTGCCGGCCGGGGCAGACCGCCCTTTCCACCCCCTCCCGTTTCCTACGCCCCTGCCCTTATTATAACTTGTTACTTTGAAGGATTCATCCCCATTGCTTGCCACGTGGAAACTCATTGTTTGTAATACTAAGTTTTTTATTTCTTTGGTTTTCTCGTGAGTACTAAATCCGCTGTACAGCGGCCCATTTTAATAATATAATTTGGCAATGACGGTTTCCAAATAGGCTCAGGCACCTGGCTGTTCGAACTGGTTGTCATGGCGCGTGTGGCGGGGGAGATCAAGCCAGGCTGCAAGCCAGGTCTGACCTTTCAGACAGCAAGGTCATTCAGTCGGATTTCACGTGTCTCAACGCATTACCAGCCTCCCAAGGCGAGACAACTCATCAGCAGCCCATGCGGAATGGTGCACCTTGACTTCGGCCCGGCTCCTGTGGCCACACGTTGGCGCCCTTTTCAGGTCTTTTGCGTGACATCGCGCGTGCGTTTCGCCAGTGACAATGTTGGCCTGCTGAGAGACGTTGTGAACCACTGGGCAGTGCAGGCGGTTGTCACTCTCACGGTCCTCACACACAATTGACATCCAGTCTTACACCATTGGTTTTTTATTATGTTGTTGTTGTTTTTTTTTTTGTGGCTTTATTGTCTAGGGGGATAATTCAATTACTTAACAAACCATTGATTCATGTCAAATATCTCTTTATTAAACAAACAACTCTGAAATTCTAACAGTCAATCATATAATTGCCCCATCACTGTTATCCAAGCTATAACGAAACGCAACCCCATTGCCCCCATACCTAAATACCTCACAAAATACCAAGCACCTAGAAACAGCTACACACATTTTCTCAACACCAAGCACGCACGCACGCACAAAACACGAACAACTCATTAACAGGCGTAGGGGCGTCATTTTGGGTAGGGCAGGGGGGGGCATTACCCCACACCCCCAATATACAGGTTTTATTTAAATTGCTACGTACTGTGGCGCCTTCAATATTAAACAACTTATTAAGCCGACCAAGTTTTGGTCTCGCCCGTCCCCCGAAAAGCCTGAAATAAGGCCCTTAAACAGAAGTAGAAAATATTTAACAATTTTTTTTATTTCGTAGTGTCCACCACCCGTTAATGATGTATTCTAAAACAAATCTCATTAAGGCCAAATAAACATTAAGACATATTATTGTATTGGAATAGTCCATGATTGCTACTAACATCTAAATACAGTTTTCGCTAGATTTTAAGGCTTCGGGTTTGCATGCAAACAAACTATATGAAACAATTGTGTAAAGTAATGACCCTATTTATAGAATGGAATATTAATCCCCCCCCACCCCCAACCAAAAAAAAAACAAAAGAAAAAAAAGAAGAAAAAAACAAAACAACAACAATGGAATGGAGAGACAGAAAGGTGTGTGGGTAGCCAGTAACATCAAGGTAACATTTCAGATTACATCTCATTGATATCTGAGTAGCTTCATTGGTTTGGATTTTATCGTAAGGTTGTCGGAAGGGGATTAAAACATTCCACAAATTAAGTAACAAAGTTTCATTTACTCCAAAAATGGAATTAAAGGAAGCGGGAGAAAGCCATTATTTTTAATCTAATGCGCCTGTAACGTCAGACTCCAGAGTCCATGAGAAAGCCAGTGATGAGGATAAAATGAGAACCGAAAAGCAGATTGAAACAGCCACGCGACGGGCCAGCTTAGTGCAGTGGTAACAGATACCAACTCATTATGGTATTACATTCTCTACACACGCACGGCTGGACCGACGGGATGCTAGCACGGGGTAGCAACGCCGATGTCATGTGGGAGGAGCAATATCAGTGTCATGTGGGACTGAGGAGCAATATCAGTGTCATGTGAGACTGAGGAGCAATATCAGTGTCATGTGGGAGGAGCAATAACAGTGTCATGTGGGAGGAGCAATATCAGTGTCATGTGGGAGGAGCAATAACAATGTCATGTGGGAGGGAGGAGAAATATCAGTGTCATGTGGGAGGGAGGAGAAATGTCAGTGTCATGTGGCAGGAGCACTATCAGTGTCATGTGGGAGGAGCAATATCAGTGTTATGTGGGAGGAGCAATATCAATGTCATGTGGGAGGGAGGAGAAATATCAGTGTCATGTTGGAGGAGCGCTATCAGTGTCACGTGGGAGGAGCAATATCAATGTCATGTGGGAGAGAGGAGCAATATCAGTTTCATGTGGGAGGAGCACTATCAATGTCATGTGTGAGGAGCAATATCAATTTCATGTGGGAGGAGCAATATCAATGTCATGTGGGAGGAGCAATATCTGTTTCAAGTGGGAGGAGCAATATCAATGTCATGTGGGAGAGAGGAGCAATATCAGTTTCATGTGGGAGGACCATCATCAATTTCATGTCGAAGGAGAAATATCAGTGTCATGTGGGAGGAGCAATATCAGTTTCATTTGGGAGGAGCACTATCAATGTCACGTGGGAGGAGCAATATCAAAGTCATGTGGGAGGGAGGAGCAATATCAGTGTCATGTGGGAGGAGCAATATCAGTGTCATGTGGGAGGAGCAATATCAATGTCATGTGGGAGGGAGGAGAAATATCAGTGTCATGTGGGAGGAGCAATATCAGTGTCATGTGGGAGGAGTACTATTAATGTCATGTGGGAGGGAGGATAAATATCAGTGTCATGTGGGAGGAGCACCATCAGTGTCATGTGGGAGGAGTACTATCAATGTCATGTGGGAGGAGAAATATCAGTGTCATGTGGGAGGAGCAATATCAGTTTCATTTGGGAGGAGCACTATCAATGTCATGTGGGAGGAGAAATATCAGTGTTATGTGGAAGGAGCAACATCAAAGTCATGTGGGAGGGAGGAGCAATATCATTGTCATGTTGGGAGGAGCACTATCAATGTCATGTGGGAGGAGCACTATCAATGTTATGTGGGAGGACCACCATCAATATCATGTGGAAGGACCACTATCAATGACATGTGGGAGGAGAAATATCAGTGGCATGTGGGAGGAGCAATATCAGTGTCATGTGGGAGGGAGGAGAAATATCAGTGGCATGTGGGAGGAGCAATATCAGTGTCATGTGGGAGGGAGGAGAAATATCAGTGTCATGTGGGAGGAGCAATATCGTCATGTGGGAGGAGTACTATCAATGTCATGTGGGAGGAGTAATATCAATGTTATGTGGGAGGAGCACTATCAATGTCATGTGGGAGGAGCAATATCAGTGTAATGTGGGAGGAGCAATATCAATGTCATTTTTGAGGAGCAATATCGGTGTCATGTTGGAGGGAGGAGCAATATCAGTGTCATATGGGATAGGGGAGCAATATCAGTGTCATGTGAGAGGGGAACAAAAATGTCATGTGGGAGGAGCAGCACCAATGTCATATCTTTTTTTTCACTGTTTCAAAAACTTTGATTAGTTCCACATTAATTGTTATTTTTTTCAATATTATTTTTAACGACTTTATTGATTTTGTTTGTAAACACCTAAACGGATGTCATGATGTCATATGGTGGCCTCGAAGTTGTAAAAAGGATTTCTGTCTCCTGATTGAATGTCTAGTTAAATGTCTAAGTAAAGTAGATTCTGATATTATGAGATCACCAAAATACTGTCCGTGACTTGGCCTATTTGATTTAGCGACTGTATATACGGTTTCTCATTACCCGGGGCTTTGGCTTATTTTGCACTGCTTATGCTGGCCTCGTAGGGATAGCTAGCCATAATATCCTTGTTGGATAGCTAGCTAATAATATCCTTGTTAGATAGCTAGCTAATAATATCCTTGTTGGATAGCTAGCTATAATATCCTTGTTGGATAGCTAGCTATAATATCCTTGTTGGAATGCTAACTAATAATATCCTTGTTGAATAGCTAGCTAATAATATCCTTGTTGAATAGCTAGCTATAATATCCTTGTTGGATAGCTAACTAATAATATCCTTGTTGAATAGCTAGCTAATAATATCCTTGTTGGATAGCTAGCTAATAATATCCTTGTTTGATAGCTAGCTAACAATACCCTTGTTGGATAGCTAGCTAACAATACCCTTGTTGGATAGCTAGCTAACAATACCCTTGTTGGATAGCTAGCTAACAATACCCTTGTTGGATAGCTAGCTAACAATACCCTTGTTGGATAGCTAGCTAACAATACCCTTGTTAAGCAAAAGCTGGATATTACCGCCTGCAGAAAATATAATACTACAAGAGTCTTGCATTCTTTCCAAGTCTCTAAATCTAGCTTCGAATATGTCCCTATATTTTTGCAAGCAAATGTTTCTAACCGTATCCGGACATTTGATCGAACGGAAATTTGGTCGAAAATTTCTTTCGATCAAATTTCCGGTAACCGTTTCTAACAACTTTTAACAAGGAATTCGCTTTGAATATTTAATAACAAGGAATCTTAATGTATGATTCTATATTATCTGTATATGTCTTAATATGTAGATTTTAGACATTTAAAAAAATAATACAACATAATATAAAGATTAGTTTTGACACATGGACATCTCGGGATAATCAAGTTTCTTAGAGCACAGGTTCCCAGCCCTTGGGAGATGACCCCCAAAAGGGGTTGAGGGGGGGTGTAAGTGGGGGTCGCAGGTTGAAACAATTGACAAAGAGGAGTAGTGGTTCTTTTAATACTTTTTCTTTTCTTTTTTTAAATTGGTGTATTCTTACCCCCCTTTGACTGATTGACAACTAGAACTCTAGGGTGGGCGAGGTCAATGCTTTGCACTAAACTGTTTTTAAACGAATAATTTTGCGTAACTGTTTTTTAATGTCATGTTTCTTTTCTTTTTTTTTTTGGTCTTTTCTTTGAGCTAATTTTTGTGTGAAACTCGGTGAGCCTAGCCCCAGCTTGTGGGTACCGCGCTATATATATATAAAACCACTAATAACAATAATAATATTAAAGTTTAAGGTGCAATGTAAAACATGGCATTAAATATGTCACCTATGACATTATACTGGGAATTCAAGTTTGAATATGTTTTCCTTTCCAAGAATTCGCCTCATTTAAAAGCCATTCTTATCCAATATATCGGGGTGACGGTCATTTTCCGTCTATACAAATGTGGTCGTGGCTTGAAAAACGACTAAGAACTTGTGTACTAGAGGTAGATAAACCGAGCTTAGCAGTTCAGCGCAATCAACTCTATTTTATAGGTACTGTGGTATAGTGACACTTTGTGAAAATTTCTGACAACCTGTGACTTGCTGAAGTTAAAAAAAAAAAAAAAAAAAAAAAATAAATAAAAAAAAAAAAAAAAAAAAAAAAAATACATATAAAAAAAAAAAAAAAAAAACAAGAAAAATGTATTCTAAAAATGTGTACCCGGGATTTCCCGAGATGGGGACAATTTCCCGGGAAGTCTTATATTGCTCACAAAAAAATCGTGCAGGATCCGGGGACCTCGGGATCGAAATCCTAATGACGACAGTGACGCGGAGATGAAATGTTCATTTCGTGGTCACTCCCCCAAGCTCTGGTGACTGAGGGTGCACGGGGGGTATAAAGAGGTGGGGCGGGTAGAGGGGGGAGGGTTATTTATTCTTGCAGTAACTTATGGTCATCTGAGCTTTGTGTCATCCCGGCTTAACACTGTGGGCCATTTATCATATCATTGTAACAGCGTATGGCAGGGGGAGATAATGATACCTGCGGTAGGGGAGTGAAAGCAGGTGGGTGGTGGGTTGCGGGGGGGGGGGGGTCATGGGGTAATGGAGTAGATGTTGCGGGCGATGAGGGGAATCAAACATTCGCTAATACTTGGGTTGTGGGGGGGGGGGGTGGTGGGTGGGGTGGGGGGGGTGGGGGGGGGGGGGGGGGTCATGTGGTAATAGAGTAGATGTTGCGGGCGATGAGTGGAATCAAACATTCGCTAATACTTGGGTTGGAGAGTATCGAGTTGTCAAACTATTCATTCCATCTGTCAGATCTTCCGTTTTGTATTATGTCTGACAAGGACAGAACATGAGTCTTGGTGAAAAGAGATTTTATGGTAATCATTGGAAAAACACCCTATGGATGTCTGCTAACAATAAGGCAGTCTAAGGGTATCCTAGGGCCCGGCTACGCGCATGAGGGATTAGTTACTACCCAGGCCATTCTCCTGTTACCGATTTCAAGCTATCATATTTTTTTTTCGATTTCCCTTCATATTTCTATCTACTGACATAATAACGGTCCCTACGTTGACATAAGACAATGCACATTGGAGACATTGAATAGGCACACACAAAAAATGTATTTCATTATCTCCATGGTAACGGCTTCTGTTTCGAGCAAATTACCCGGTGTATTCGTCATGTAACATCCATGACTCCTGTAATATCAGTTTCCCCGTCTCAATTCTCCATTCATTATAGGCCCACATAGATTTAATGAGTTCAGGGAAACTACCAAAATCTATAGGTTACTGAAACTGTACAATGTAACGAAAGAAAATAATAACTCTTTATGAATTTTGATTTTGCATAGTGTACGAAACATTGCAATCACAGCATCTCATTTGAATCAATAATGAAAAATGGCAGAATCAATTTTATGTCACATTCTGTCCTTCTCTTTATTGCCTTCAATCATTGTACGTGAGTGTATCTATTCGTCCAATCGTGGGGGGGGGGGGCAATATCTTATCTACATATATAAAAATGAATGTATGCATGTATGTATGTCCCGTATGCGCTACTCCACCATTCATGCGATAAATCTTGAGTGAGCTGTTGTTTACAAGTCCGAGCATTTGTCTCAATCATTACAACCCTTTAAAAATATTCCGTTTTGGGTCGTTGCCCTTCATTCGTTTTTTTTTCTTCCTTATATGAGATTTGTAAAGAATAATTTCCGTATGCGCTCCTACACCATTGATCAGAATGCGATAAAACTTTAGTGAGATGTTGCGCGTACGCCCGTAATGATTACAACCATTTTAAAACATTCCGTTTCGGGCCGGCAGCCCTTACTTCATTTTTTTCTTAAATGAGTCATGTAAATAATTTCAAAAAGAACGTATGCATTGGTGGATGGAATTTTAATAATATACAAATAGTGACAATTCAATTTTTGTGTGACATAATAAGTAGATTTTTGAAATAGTAGAACGATTTTACAATATTCCGTTTTGGGGTCGCGGTCCCTGAATTCGATTGTATTTCTTATATAAGCTGGTTAAATATAATTTCTAACGGAGCTATTGCATGGGCGGACGGCATTGAATCAAATACAAGCTGCGTCATTTGGGTTTGTATGTGACATAATAAGTATGTTTCTGAATTAGTAAATCCATTTTACAATATTCCGTTTGCAGCCGGGGGCCCTAACTTTTTAATTTATACTAAATGAGCTAATATAACAATAATAATATTAAAGTTTCTGTGAAAATCACGCTTCGTCCCCAAAGGCTCGAAGCGCAGTACAAAGTCAACCATATTAAAAGAGAAATGAAAACAAATCTATATTATACCACATTGAAATACAAAAGGCAACATTACAAAAACTACATACGAGAATACACATTCTAAGTCTTTTATACCTTGCAACCATAAACAAACACAGGCCAATATACATCTAGGAGACAATAGCCAGCTAGTAAAGATGGTAGACAACATCACCCCAACAGGTGTTTGCGAAATAGATGTGTTTTCAAATCGGTTTTGAAAGACTCCACTGTCTGGCTGTTTCTGAGAGCGTCAGGAAGTGTGTTCCAAATTGTTGGGCCGGCAAATGCGAGAGTGCGCCTTCCGTAAGTCTCCAGGTGAACACATCGTATCGAGAGTTTGCCACTATCGGATGAGCGGAGTTGTCTAGTGGGTACATAAGGCGTCATGAGCGCTTTGAGATAGGACGGTTCCAGGTCATGCAAGCAGCGGTAGCACAGAGTTGCAATTTTGTACTCTATGCGAGCGCGGCCCGGCAGTCAATCCAGCTCTCTCAGGAGTGTTTTAGCATGGTCAAATTTGCGTTTGCGAAAAAAATTGCGAGCCGCATTATTCTGTACTTTTTTAATTCTACCCAAGAGCGTAGCTGGAAGACCCACCATGACAGCTTTGCAGAAGTCCAAGCGTGATAGCGAAAATGCAGCCATCAGCCTCTTTGTTGCATCAAACGTTAAGAAAGGTTATATGACTAATTCTGCGCAGCTCTAGAAAATTGGCCTTGCAAAGCATGTTAATGGGATTTTCCATAGATAGTGTTCTATCCAAGTAGACACCCAGGTTTCACACTGTTTGAGCAAACGCAATCTGTATACCTGAGAGAGTAAGGGATGGTGTGTTATTTACAGATTTTAGCTTTTGAGCGGTAGCAATTGGGATCAGCTGGGTATTTTCATCGATCAATTTGAGCTTGTTTATGTTCATCCAGCGCTTAACTGACTCCACTGTCTTCTGTGTCATAATAAGGTGTTGAACTGAGAGGGGATCACGGACTGCTGAAGTTGTGTATCATCCGCGAACATGTGATATAGCATGTCAAACTGCTTGATCACTGCACCCCAGGGGCTAAACGTACATAGTGAAAAGCACCGGGCCTAGGACCACGCCCTGGGGTACTCCGAATTCGATAATAGATTCCTTCGAGGTCAAGCAGTTTGCAATAACTGATTGGACCCGATTTGTCAGATACGAGTGAAACCATCTTAGGAGGGTATCCGTAAAACCGAAAGTTTTTTGCAGACGCTGGAGAAGTCTGCCGTGGTCAAGCGTATCGAACGCTGCCGATAGATCAAGTAACGACAAAAGTGATACCTTGCCCTAACCACAAGATGACAGAAGGTCATTTACGACGCGCAACAGGGCTGTCTCAGTAGAGGGATGCGCCCTGTATGCTGACTGGAAAGTCTCAAACAAGTCGCAGTGAATGAGGTGGTTCAGGAGCTGGTGGAGAACTACTTCCTCTAAAATTTTTGGATACAAATGGTAGATTTGAAACGGGGCGATAATTTTCCAACATATTTGGGTCAAGATTTGCTTTTTGTTAGCAGTGGAGTTACAACCGCCTCTTCAAAAGAGGATGAGACAATACCAGTTTTCAATAAATATAAATATAATTTCAAAAATAGCTATTGCATGTGTGGATCAATTGCTACAAGTGTGTGGACTAAATTTTGAAAAGGTATGCTTCTCACGTGGACAGCTGTGTGCTGTCTGCTCACGCTTCGAAAAAACCTTCTAATTCATTCGAGTACGCAACAGACTTTAAAAAAAATAAATATTGTCTATATAAAATACTTTAAAAAGCATAATTGAAACACAAACACTTTATTTCTTTGAGTGGCATTGCAACGCATGCCGGGTACTCGCTAGTCTTATTAATAAAATATACATCTGGCCCTGTCACAAACTGGACTACTCTCTAAACACATGGCCGCCTGCCCTTTCATAAACTGGACTACTTCCTAAACACATGGCTGCCTGCCCTTTCATCAACCGGACTACTTTCTAAACACATGGCTGCCTGCCCTAGTTTATATTCTAAAATTATTTTCTGTAATACTTGTAATGAATATGGAAGAATTATTCAAATCACCGCCCAATCGTTTAGATTGACAAAGACAAACGCCAGGTTAGGTCAGCAGACTACACACCCCAAGATGGATTAGTTATCCTCACTTAAAGTCTTATTCAAAGGTTCCAGCTAACCTCTTTGACGCCCCACACTCACTCCCTTACAGCGCTCCCCCCTCCCCCCTCCATTCCAAATACAAACAGTTCACCCCATCCACGTTAGATATCAATAAAACACAAAGTTTAGTTTACTTCTACATTTCCGATGGAAATAAATAAAACATTGAATTTATTTAAAGTTGACATTCACGATACAGAATAAACACTTGGCCGACGGGAAATAGCACTAAAATAGGAATAAATCTTTCCACATCCTGAAAATGTCCTGGACCGGAAATGGGCCCATACTCTTTGATTCCAATGTTACACAAAATGTACTTTCCCTGGCTCTTCAACTTTAATCTCGTTTGCAGTGAAATCCCGTTCACCCGGGACGGATTTATGTACCTACATTTAGAAACATTCCATGGGAGATCGATTCACCAATCATGATTCCCTTTTAATCTCAACCAGCTCTCCGGCCATCAGGATGTCAAAGTGATGGATATCACAGGATGTCCAAGTGATGGATATCATACCGCGCTTCTCTGAGAGGACTCTCCCCCCCCACCCCCGACCCACCCCAACCCCTTCCTTTACAATGTCCATTTTTTTCGCTCTGCTGTCTCATCACCAAAGAGCTAAATCCAGATTGTCCCCCCCTTCCAATGAGCTTTGACCGCTGCCCAATTTCAGAACTCTCGCCTACGCCATTACTGAAGAGAAAATTCACTGTCGCAAAATGACATTGCGTATCGCGTTGCAGAACAAAATTGGGAGGGAAAGGGGGGAGGGGGAGTGAAAAAAACAAGTCAACGCTGGGATGGATTTCTGGAATCTACTCTGGAAACAGAGTGCTGGAAATGCTTGCAAGTTAATAGGAAAAGAACGGAACCGGCTACACATTAACGGGGGCCCAGACCCGATCTCGTGCAATTTGTATCACTTTTCGATCATCGGTCCATCTCGACCGGGTCTCCTCCGTACGGGCCCGCCGCGTGCCGCCGCTGTTCCCGGCTGCCACCCGATACCGGGAGTTAAAAGCCAGGAAATGGCGTCCGTCGTTTCCTCGAGTATTCTGACAGTCGGATTGCCCTCGGCAGTACTCGGGCAGTGTAATTAACACGGCCGTGCTCGGCGCGGTGTGTGTTTTTATTGTTATGATTATAGTAAATAGCTGGCTTTCACTGGGGCTCCATACAGAGCTTAGGGGCACCTCCTTGAGGCCCAGCTTGAAACAAACGGTCAGTTCATTCATGCGCCACTGACCCATTCTTTGTACTCTTAGTATTAGTTCATTAAGCTTGTTTGCTTGTGCGGTGGTGGTGTTGTTGTTATTTTTAAAATTCATCCTGGAAATAATAACTTTCTCCTAAGGAGATCTGTTTGATATAAGACATCGATTATCAATTTGAACATTAATTGTGTTATGTACTTGGAAATTGAATCATCCTACAATTTCAGTTAGTTCTTCCCTATCACACCACTTGGACTCTACACCAGATTACAACACCGTGATCCCCATGTAATATTATAATTTGGCACTAAAGCGTTATGAGACTGAGGACCACTGAATTTCAAAAGCATTTGGGTAAAAAAAAAAATCACCTTACACCAGGAAATTTAAAATCGTTCGGTGGCGTTGAAGTTTTTAAAAAACAATTTTTCGTGTCAACACTATTTAGTATATTTTATTTATTTCGTTTGTTCGTTTTTGCTGTTTATTTGTGTTTTTTGTTGTTGTTTTTTTTTTTTTTTTTTTTTTTTTTTTTAAAGTTTTGCTATTTATTTATGTCCGGCTATGAGATGCCTTACTCGATCCTATGATGCATTTAGTCATTCCAACGTTGTAGTCCTAATCTGTACCGTTTCCACCTCACGACTACAGAGGACCAGTGATGTACTTGTAAAGACAGTACGAGTGAAGCAATTACTTTCGTGCTGACGTAAGCTAAGTCATCGCCCAATTGGGTGTGCGTGCGCCAGACACATTTTTAACATCAATTTCTGAGGGTATTTTTATACAAAGGATTTTGTGTAGTTTTTTAAAAAATTTTGTGTTTTTTTTATTTTGTTGTGTTTTTTGTTTGTTTTTTTGTCAGCGCGGCAGTGTTTCTCCTTAGCGGACTAGGCTATTTTGAGTTTGCAAGATGGAGAACAAATATCTGACTATAGAGAACAAATATCTGACTATAGAGAACAAATATCTGACTATAGAGAACAAATATCTGACTATAGAGAACAAATATCTGACTATAGAGAACAAATATCTGACTATAGAGAACAAATATCTGACTATAGAGAACAAATATCTGACTATAGAGAACAAATATCTGACTATAGAGAACAAATATCTGACTATAGAGAACAAATATCTGACTATAGAGAACAAATATCTGACTATAGAGAACAAATATCTTACTATAGAGAACAAATATCTGACTATAGAGAACAAATATCTGACTATAGAGAACAAATATCTGACTATAGAGAACAAATATCTGACTATAGAGAGCAAATATCTGACTATAGAGAGCAAATATCTGACTATAGAGAGCAAATATCTGACTATAGAGAGCAAATATCTGACTATAGAGAACAAATATCTGACTATAGAGAACAAATATCTGACTATAGAGAGCAAATATCTGACTATAGAGAGAAAATATCTGACTATAGAGAGCAAATATCTGACTATAGAGAACAAATATCTGACTATAGAGAACAAATATCTGACTATAGAGAACAAATATCTGACTATAGAGAACAAATATCAGACTATAGAGAACAAATATCTGACTTTAAACAAAAAATTGTGTGAGGTGGTCATAATGCTCAGAAAAAATGTTGCATAACTTTTGGAGACTGTTATTTTGATTTTCAACCTAAGAAATGTTGATGCATTCAACACGTTGTTTCACGCCGATACATTTCAATGTGATCACTCAATGTTAGTTCACTTTTTCATCACCTTAACAACCCACCCACCCTTCCCTTCCCCCCCCCCCCCCCCCCCCCCCCACTTTTTTTTTTTTTTTTTTTTTAAATTCCCCAAAAACATTCAAGATTCTATCTAATCTACTGAAAAGCGCGGGGGAGGGAATTTGTCCTTTATTTTTTGATTTTTGGATTTTTTTTTTGGGGGGGGGGGGAGCTTTCTTTTTATTTAGAAGAAAATAGATTATGGGAGAGGTGTTATTTTTTAGCTTGGTCACGTGTCTACAATTATATGTTCACTTTACGTCTGTGACACTCTCCAGGCGTGCTGCCAGTGAGGTATGGAATTGAGAGCCATTTGATGTCCAGATCGCATCTCTTCCACGAGCCGGGGTTCTCCGAGGGGGAGAGCATTCTGCAGGTGAGTGAAAGGTCAAAGTTGTCTGCCGCTGATAAAGCATTTTGTTTAGCTTTTGTTTCTCGTATGTTTTCAGAAGTTATCTCTTCGAGCACGTGCCGGCATACGGCCTTGACATCAGTAAGTTAAGCCCGTGTTCGGGGGGGGGGTGGGGGTGGGGGGTGGGAAGGAGACAGGAAATGACGTCAAACGAATGCTTCCAGTCGTCGAAAAGTTTTCATTGAGATGGCTTTAAAGTCACGAGCCATCCATCTAGATAACGTGACGCTGTCAGAGGTCAAAGGTTGATACTGACGGACAAAGAGCCCGGCGACCTCTGGTGTTAATTAACTTCAAACAGTCGTTAAGCCGCACAATAGTATTGAATATGTCCCAACACCCAGTTAATCTAGAAACACTGTCATGGACGTCGATAATGCAATTAAGCTAAGGGCGCCAAGTGTGTAGGTTTCGACCCAAGCGACCTCATGCCTCTCACAATAATCGTACAGATTGATGATAAACCAGGTGTCTCATTAAGACCCCACGGTACAATATTTTATAATATATATATGGACACATACACAGGACGGTAGTTGGGACGAAGTTAAATGTGCCATTATGACTGTCACCTTGCCAGATGAAACTGTGTGTCATATTGAGCTTAACCACGCTAATACGAAGGTCAATTTAATCATGACATGCCTCGACAGGTGCCGAGCAGACTTTGCATTAAACATTTAGAAACATGACCCAATGAAGTGTAAACACATTCAAAAAGACTTCAGCAGCCAAGCAATGTCGCGGAGATTGAAATATGTGTCACTATAAGGAATGAAACTTTTGAATCCATTTTTATTTTATTCTGACACAAGTGTCGTTTATTTTGTACTGACACATATGACATAAGTGTCGTTATTTTGTACTGACACAAATGACATAAGTGTCGTTATTTTGTACTGACACATATGACATAAGTGTCGTTATTTTGTACTGACACATATGACATAAGTGTCGTTATTCTGTACTGACACATATGACACAAGTGTCGTTATTTTGTACTGACACATATGACATAAGTGTCGTTATTTTGTACTGACGCATATGTTGTAGTTCTGTACTTTTACCTTACCCCCTTTTTTTTTGTCTCCGCATAGTGTTAATTCAGGGGGGACGTTCCTTGTATAGATTGATTTTGTGTTTCAGGCACTCTATGGATTTCTCTTTGTTGTCACGTGCGATGGGGAAGTGTTTTTTGCATCAAGAACCGTTGAGCAGTACCTCGGGTTCCACCAGGTGAGTAAAATCAGGCTTTGAGAACCGTTGACCATTACCCGGGGTTCCACTAGGTGAGTGCAAGACTGGCTTTGAGAACCATTGAACAGTCCCTGGGGCTCCACCAGGTGACTACAAACCAGGCTCTGAGAACCGTTGAGCAGTACCTGGGGTTCCACTAGGTGACTACTAGCCTGGCTCTGAGAACCGTTGAGCAGTACCTGGGGTTCCACTAGGTGACTACTAGCCTGGCTCTGAGAACCGTTGAGCAGTACCTGGGGTTCCACTAGGTGAATACTAGCCTGGCTCTGAGAACCGTTGAGCAGTACCTGGAATTCCACTAGGTGACTACTAGCCTGGCTCTGAGAACCGTTGAGCAGTACCTGGGGTTCCACTAGGTGACTACTAGCCTGGCTCTGAGAACCGTTGAGCAGTACCTGGGGTTCCACTAGGTGACTACTAGCCTGGCTCTGAGAACCGTTGAGCAGTACCTGGGGTTCCACTAGGTGACTACTAGCCTGGCTCTGAGAACCGTTGAGCAGTACCTGGGGTTCCACTAGGTGACTACTAGCCTGGCTCTGAGAACCGTTGAGCAGTACCTGGGGTTCCACCAAGTGAGTACAATCCTGGTTTTTAGAACCGAAATTCACCAAAAAAATTAAATGATATCTTTAACAAAAACACCAATTATGATATTTAACAAATAAAACAATTATGACATTTAACATATACACCGATTATGTCATTTAACAGATACACCTATTATGACGTTTAACAAATGCACAAATTATGACATTAAACAAATACATCAAATATGACATTTAATAAACATACAAATTAGAATATTTAACAAACACAACAATTATGACATTTAACAAACACATCAATTATAGCATCTAACAAACTTAAACAATGAAGATATTCAAAAACACACCAATTATGACATTTAACAAACACACCAATTATGACATGTAACAAAAACACCATTTATGACATTTAACAAACACACCAATTATGTCATTTAACAAATACAACAATTAAGATATTCAACAACTACTACATTTATGACATTAAAAAAATGCATCAAATATGACATTTAATAAACATACTAATTAGAATATTTAACAAACACAACACTTATGACGTGTAACAAATAAAAAAATTATGACATTTAACAAACACACAAATTATGACATTTAACAAACACAACAATTAAGATATTCAACATATACACCATATATGACATTTAACAAACACACCAGATATGACATTTAACAAACACACCAATTATGATATGTAACAAAAACACTAATTATGACATTTAACAAAAACACCATTGATGACATGTAACAAATACACAATTTATGAAATTTAACAAATACACCAGACAGGTAACAAATACCCCATTTATAACATGTAACAAATACACCATGTCTGACATTTAACAAACACACCAATTATGACATGTAACAAATACATCAATTATGACTTTTAACTAACACAACAATTATAACATTTACCAAACACAACAATCATGATATTCAACAAACACAACAATTATGACATTTAACAAACTTATCACTTAACAAGTTAAGAATAATTTATACGAAATTAGCCAAGCATAAAATCTATATTATCCTTTCTCTGTCATCATGCCACGGTCTCATCTTACCAAAAGTTACTTTCACGGTCTCTTCTTACAAATAATTACTTTCTCTGTCTCATCTTACCAAAAGTTACTTTCTCTGTCTCGTCTTTCCAAGAGTTACTTTCTCTGTCTCATCTTACCAAAAGTTACTTTCTCTGTCTCATCTTACTATCTTTCACGATCACATACAGGGGTAAAAACTTATCTCAACACGTGACTTCACCTCGGGCTAATTTCACTATAAAATAATGTACACATACAAACACAATAACCTCCACAGAAAGCCCACCCAAATTCTCCCGTTGTAGTTCCTAGCTGCTCCCGTGTCATGTTTCTCTTTGAGACGCTTCTAAAACATTTCTCTCAAACGCTTGTGACAGATTTTTCTAAAAGAACATACGGTGATCGTTATCTTTTTAAGACCGGTTTTTTTTTTCCCGCCACGTCTCTTCTGTGAAGTTTGTGAAAAGGACTTTACCAGAGCTGGTGACGTCCAAGATGGTAGACTCTATCAGAATTGGTGACTTCCGAAATGGTAGACCTTATCAGAATTGGTGACTTCCAAGATAGTACAATCCGCTTTTCAGAAAAGAAATGTAAATACCGAATCAGCGTGTAGAAGATAAAGCTATTTTGTATATAACCGCCTACCAAAGATGTGACCCCCCAGATCGCGACGCGAGATAAATTCAAACGTCTGGAAATTTAAATGAATTATATTTAATTAAATAGCTTTGTGAATCAAGTTGGGTCATGCCCACATCGCTCACATCATTGGTCGTATAAACAGCATATCGCTGTGAAAGAGGTTCCATTTTTTTAAAAAATAATAATTTTATATAAAAAGTATACTTGAAACGATCGCGTGTGTGGGGTGGGGGGGGGGGGGGTCAAAGAGGATTAAATCTATCGAAAAAAAAAAAAAAAATCCAAAAAAAAAAAAAANTGTTTCCATCTTCAAAGCTCCATTTTGTATTCAGTACAACTGACGAGTGTTTCCATCTTCAAAGCTCCATTTTGTATTCAGTACAACTGACGAGTGTTTCCATCTTCAAAGCTCCATTTTGTATTCAGTACAACTGACGAGTGTTTCCATCTTCAAAGCTCCATTTTGTATTCAGTACAACTGACGAGTGTTTCCATCTTCAAAGCTCCATTTTGTATTCAGTACAACTGACGAGTGTTTCCATCTTCAAAGCTCCATTTTGTATTCAGTACAACTGACGAGTGTTTCCATCTTCAAAGCTCCATTTTGTATTCAGTACAACTGACGAGTGTTTCCATCTTCAAAGCTCCATTTTGTATTCAGTACAACTGACGAGTGTTTCCATCTTCAAAGCTCCATTTTGTATTCAGTACAACTGACGAGTGTTTCCATCTTCAAAGCTCCATGTTTCAAAACTAGCGGGTGGGGGGGATGGGATTGCGGGCTTAGTGTGTTGAGGGTGGGTTGGAGGAGATAGGATGAGGGTGAGAGAGTGCAGAAGTTGGGTTGGAGGAGATCGGGTAGGGGGAGATGGGTAGATGAGGTGCGGTTAGCGGGTACCCATCCTTACGAAAGAAACTGTCATGATTCGGATGATCGAGACTCGAACGCGACACCTTCGTTAATTAAGCCAGTCGTCTGCAGTACCTCGGCCAACACACTCCGAACTGACATTCAATTCAGCAACGCACGCCACTTACGACATAATTGCCCCACCCCCTAGACCACTGTAATTGAATCATTGTCATCAGATATCAGTGCGGTGCATATGTGGTCAACACCTCTCCTGGCCTATTAACAAACTCTGGTTATGAGATACACATATAATTGTAGCGTCCGGGCGGCTTTTCAAACGTGTTTACAATTTGATCCGTCATGGCACTCTGAGAGTGATGGTTTGAACCAAATACGTCATGGCACTCTGAGAGTGATGGTTTGAAACAAATACGTCATGGCACTCTGAGAGTGATGGTTTGAACCAAATACGTCATGGCACTCTGAGAGGGATGGTTTGAACAAAATATGTCACGGCACTCTGAGAGTGATGGTTTGAACCAAATACGTCACGGCACTCTGAGAATGATGGTTTGAACCAAATACTTCACGGCACTCTGGGAGTGATGGTTTGAACCAAATGGGTCATGGCACTCTGAGAGTGATGGTTTGAACCAAATACGTCACGGCACTCTGAGAGTGATGGTTTGAACCAAATACGTCACGGCACTCTGAGAGTGATGGTTTGAACCAAATACTTCACGGCACTCTGGGAGTGATGGTTTGAACCAAATGCGTCATGGCACTCTGAGAGTGATGGTTTGAACCAAATACGTCACGGCACTCTGAGAGTGATGGTTTGAACCAAATACGTCACGGCACTCTGAGAGTGATGGTTTGAACCAAATACGTCACGGCACTCTGAGAGTGATGGTTTGAACCATATACTTCACGGCACTCTGGGAGTGATGGTTTGAACCAAATGCGTCATGGCACTCTGAGAGTGATGGTTTGAACCAAATACTTCATGGCACTCTGAGGGTAATGGTTTGAACCAAATACGTCATGGCACTCTGAGAGTGATGAACCAAATACGTCATGGCACTCTGAGAGAGATGGTTTGAACCAAATACGTCATGGTACTCTGAGGGTGATGGTTTGAACCAAATACGTCATGGCACTCTGAGGGTTATGGTTTGAACCAAATACGTCATGACACTCTGGGAGTGATGGTTTGAACCAAACACGTGATGGCACTATGAGGGTGATGGTTTGAACCAAATACGTCATGGCACTCTGAGGGTGATGGTTTGAACCAAATACGTCATGGCACTCTGAGGGTGATCGTTTGAACCAAAAACGTGCCTGGGGTGGGGTGCTAGTGGAGTTTGCAAAATTGTATCCCATTTTTATAGTGAGTTTATAAAGTACTCCCCCTAGCAAATAAAATATGCATTTACTCCAAAGAATTCCAACCTGACTCACTCTCCTTTTATGAAAACAGTGTCTGAATCCGTCACTGTTCCCCACCACCACCTCCTCCCGTCACTGTTCCCCACCACCACCTCCCTGTCACTGTTCCCCTTCCCCTCTCTTGTCCCATTTCCCTGTTCCTGTTCCCCGCCACTGTCCCTCATTCCTGTTCCCCCGTCACCTTACCCGGTCATTGTGCCCCATTCCTGTTCTCCACCACTGTCCCCCAGTCCTGTATGCTGTCACTGTCCCCCTATTCCTGGTCCCCCGCCACCTTACCCTGTCACTGTCCCCCCCTTCCTGGTCCCCCGCCACCTTACCCGGTCATTGTCCCCCATTCCTGTTCTCCACCACTGTCCCCCAGTCCTGTACCCTGTCACTCTCCCCCCATTCCTGGTCCCCCGCCACCTTACCCTGTCACTGTCCCCCCATTCCTGTTGCCCCGCCACCCTACCCTGTCACTCCCCCCCCCATTCCTGTTCCCCCGCCACTGTCCCGCCCCCAACCACTTTACCCCGTCACTGTCTCCCGTCCCAGTCCCCCGTCATCGTTCACCAATGTGATGTAGCACAACGAGGTAATTATCTGAGCCCGACGTTTCCACGTGGCGTCATACGACACTGACAAGATGGCGTTGACACGCGCTGCTCGGAAGTTGCGCAAAAAACACAAAAACAAATCGTTTTCAATGACATCAATCAGACGGAGTCAACGGATGTCTCTTCTCTGCTAGAGTGAGAACAATCGACTATCACCGACTCTGGCTTCAATGTGGCAAGGAAAAAATGTGAGAATAAATCAATTTTTATGACGTAATTTGATATTGCGTGTCTAAGATTAAAATTCGCTATGTACATAAAATTATGTTAACTAGACTGACATTCCTTTTATATTATTTGTTGTTGAGACGAGGTCTTCTTAATGTTTCTTGTATGTGGGATTTGGGAACTTAATGGACTTGATCAATATTTGTAGCAAGGCTGTGGAGAATCTAGAAAAACTAACAAGAGAAACTCGAAATTACATTTGGTATGGATGAACTTGCTATAATATATTCGGTGCATCCTTGTGAGAAACAACAATTTAACGAAGTGAAATCACATGAACGCAAAAATTAACACATACAAATTATTCCAAGCGTTCAGTTTTCAAATATCAAATATCGCAATAAGGTATTTAAATAGAGAAATGAATGAAATGGATAAATGAAGTGTTTAAATAGTTAAATACAGTGTTTAAATACACACAGACATTGTTTAAATAGAGAAATAAAATGTTTGAATTTAGAAATGAGGCATTTCGGATTGTGGCGTACCAGACAGACATGACTTAATTTACTCAATCACGTGATCACTTTGAAACGCTATATTGTTTTCACATTCAAATCGAACACCTAACCATAAACATCAATGAGAGGGTCGCCCTAGAATCCACTCAATTTTTTGCCAGGCTTTAGAGCCGTGTCCAATCAACACCAAGCTATGTGCTCAATGTCAGCTTTGTAACACTGCCTAATCCAGAGTTATATCCAGATCACTGTGCGATGTCAAGCCAAACAAAAACTATGTCAAGCCAAACAAAAACTATGTCAAGCCAAAACAAAACTATGTCAAGCCAAAACAAAACTATGTCAAACCAAAACAAAACTATGTCAAACCAAAACAAAACTATGTCAAACCAAAACAAAACTATGTCAAACCAAAACAAAACTATGTCAAACCAAAACAAAACTATGTCAAACCAAAACAAAACTATGTCAAGCCAAAACAAAACTATGTCAAACCAAAACAAAACTATGTCAAGCCAAACAAAACTATGTCACGCCAAACAAAATTATGTCAAACCAATTAAAACTATGTCAAACCAAAAAAATAACTATGTCACGCCAAACAAAACTATGTCAAGCTAAACAAAACCATGTTAAGACAAACAAAACTATGTCAAGCCAAAGCAAAACTATGTCAAGCCAAACAAAACCATGTTAAGACAAACAAAACTATGTCAAGCCAAACAAAACCATGTCAAGCCAAACAAAACTATCTCAAGCCAAAACAAAACTATGTCAAGCCAAACAAAACCATGTTAAGACAAACAAAACTATGTCAAGCCAAAACAAAACTATGATAAACCAAATAAAACTATGTCAAGCCAAAACAAAACTATGATAAACCAAACAAAACTATGTCAAGCCAAAACAAAACTATGATAAAACAAACAAAACTATGGCAAGCCAAAACAAAACTATATCAAGCCAAAACAAAACTATGATAAACCAAACAAAACTATGTCAAGCCAAAAAAAAAACTGTGGCAAGCCAAAACAAAACCGTGGCAAGCCAAAACAAAACTATGATAAACCAAACAAAACTATGTCAAGCCAAATCAAAACTATGGCAAGCCAAAACAAAACTATCATAAACCAAACAAAACTATGATAAACCAAACAAAACTATGCCAAGCCAAAACAAAACTATGATAAACCAAACAAAACTATGGCAAGGCAAAACAAAACTATGATAAACCAAACAAAACTATGTCAAGCCAAACAAAACTATGTCAAGCCAAAACAAAACTATGATAAACCAAAAAAAACTATGTCAAGCCAAACAAAACTATGGCAAGCCAAAATAAAACTATGTCAAGCCAAACAAAACTATGTCAAGCCAAACAAAACTATGTCAAGCCAAACAAAACTATGTCAAGCCAAAACAAAACTATGTCAAGCCAAAACAAAACTATGTCAAGCCAAACAAAACTATGTCAAGCCAAACAAAACTATGTCAAGCCAAACAAAACTATGTCAAGCCAAAACAAAACTATGTCAAGCCAAACAAAACTATGATGAACCAAACAAAACTATGTCAAGCCAAACAAAACTATGATAAACCAAACAAAACTATGTCAAGCCAAACAAAACTATGTCAAGCCAAACAAAACTATTTCAAGCCAAACAAAACTATGTCAAGCCAAACAAAACTATGATAAGCCAAACAAAACTATGTCAAGCCAAACAAAACTATGTCAAGCCAAACAAAACTATGTCAAGCTAAACAAAACTATGATAAGCCAAACAAAACTATGTCAAGCCAAACAAAACTATGTCAAGCCAAACAAAACTATGTCAAGCCAAAACAAAACTATGTTTTTTTAAGTAAACCGCCCAAATGCAAACTACAAACATCTGTCAAAATATTTTTTTAAAAATAAAATGATTAAATACTTAATAAACTTTATTCTTTTATATATTGTGTAGCTTAATTGTCCCCCCCCCCTCCCCAACCCCCTGTACTTAGAATGAGAATATATTTAAAGAAATTAATCTGAAAACGTTAGACACGAGACACTTAAAACAAACTCTAACGTTAGCAGTGTCAAATCTCTAGAGGATATTTATTTATTGATTTATTGATTTAGGTATTTTTATATAGCGCTTATCTTACAGCTCTAAGCGCTTTACAATTATTAAAAAACATGTAACCTATTTAAACTGCCTAAGAAAAATAAAAATGAAAAACCAGAGACACCAGAATAGTAACTACTATATTAAAAATGACTATAGAAACAGTAGCTTAAACATTAAAATGGCTATAAGAACTAGTACACTTTGGCACGTTTTGGCCTATGCTACAGGATCAATCACTTCCAACACAATGTCATTTCATTAACCCTGGTCTGTCAAGGTGATCAAACCGTTCGGCTTTTTGAGACTCTAGCATCATGATGTGTTAATATGTTTGTTAAATGGTTTATACCAAAGTCTTGTCAGATAAATGTATACCTCCTATATGACTCCTCGAATCCTGTTCTGCAAGTCACATTCCCACCCATAAGCCACCATTTCTTACGCTGACCGAAGTCCTATTAACCATCAACCCCCCCCAACCCCCCCAACCCTTACTTTCATTTTAATTAAAAAGAAAAAAATCCGCACGAACTCACACCCACATGTTACCTCCAAAATTGATCGACCCTTAAAAATCTCCAACGAAAAACTTTATTGCGTCCTTCTTTTCTCCTGTCACCGTCCTGCCCAGTTGCATTATTTCACTGGCACTCAATGTAAACACAATACAACGCTGTACTTGTCACCGTATCGGAAATCCCCGGTAACTGGAGTAGATCAATGCACGGTGCTCAAGCTGTTTTTTTTCCCCACCACCCAAAATTTTTTTCCGCTTACTTTATGATAGGCAGGTGCGCATCAGGCGTTTTCTTCTGACTTAATCTCTAACCGACAAAATTACTCAATCTGGGAGGGCCCCGGGCACACTGTTGGACGGAACTGCTCGGCCAACAAAACGCCCTTTCTACGCTCCGCCAAAGAGGCAACAAAGCTTTTTACAACGAGCCTCCACCCTTCTCCTATCCAACGCCGATCTTAATGGGAGTTACGGGCCCTACAGGAACTTGTCCAGGGTCCCGCGAAACAGGCCTAATCTCTAGGAACACTTCTAGAGTAGACGCCAATCTCGGTAAGATATGATTTATGGGAGACAACTATAAAATCACGGGGCGGCCCCTGAATGGGCGGCCCTTATAGCAGCAATTAATTAACCATAACTCCGCGTCGCCCAGCGTCAGAGTTTGGTTGGAGTTAAGGGTATCGGTGTCCCGGGGGAGTCCTAACATTGCCAAACAAGCTTTCCGAGATGGCGCCCTAGTGACAACTGCGACAATTAAAACACAGAACGTGACGTGGGTGGGACCGGGGAAAGGGCGGGGGGGGGGGCGTTAGACGATACGCTTATGTTGCGTCTACAGACAAATTATGTTGTAAGCATAGATGTGATGGTTAGGGGATTGATGAACTGATCAATTGATTTAAGGTCAAGGTTTAAAGGTTTCACCTTAAAGAAAGGTAAAACAAAAACGTTTGGGAGTAGAGAAAAGTGGTAAACACAGAACGTGACGTGGGTGGGACCGGGGAAAGGGCGGGGGGGGGGCGTTAGACGATACGCTTATGTTGCGTCTACAGACAAATTATGTTGTACGCATAGATGTGTTGGTTAGTGGATTGATGAACTGATCTATTGATTTAAGGTCAAGGTTGAAAGGTTTCACCTTAGAGAAAGGTAGAACAATAACGTTTTGGAGTAGAGAAAAGTGGGACTTTTCTGGGGATACAAATTTTACCTGAATGTCGAACGAATTTATTTAAACTTTAAAAAAAAAAAAATTAAAAAGCGATTGAATCTGGCATTAAGATTAATATTTTAATCAAACAAAACGAAATATTTCAAGTAATTATTGTTTTAAAAACCATTTTCCAATCGTGAGATAAAGAAAGAGATTGAACAAGTCGATGCACGGTCTCAACAAACACTGAAATGTTTCATTAGTGAAGACAGACCTAGAGTCTACTTTAAACTAGAAAGATCAAAGCATGAAATACAAAATGAAATTGTTTATAAAAGAAATGAAGGGTTCAAATAATTTGAAAGTTATTGTTATTATTTTTATAATCATTATTATTATTATTATAATTATCATGAGTACTATTGTTATTATCATTGTTATTATTATTATGACAAAAGTTCTTATTTAATTACAGTGCACTTGGTATCATACACAAAAAGCTGTGGTAAAAAAAATCAAACTTTAATTTCAGACATAGTGAGTAGTGCTAGTCAAACTAAACTGACGTCACTAAGGTCCAGGGCCTGCTCATGTATCGATTAGGCGATCAAGATATAAGTGGATGAACATCCAGTGAAAACAAATATCAAGGGTTGTCGTTTAAACTCGACATCCCCTCCCCCCACCCCAACTTAACGATCAATGGTTGGCAACAAAGATGAGAAAGTAGGACATTCTATTGAATTGAAACATTACTCACCAATGAGCAGACATTCTTTTAAATTGAAACATTACTCACCAATGAGCAGGCATTATTTTGAATTGAAACATTACTCACCAATGAACAGACATTCTTTTGATTTGAAAGATTACTCACCAATGAACAGACATTCTTTTAAATTAAAACATTACTCACCAATGAAAAGACATTCTTTTGAATTGAAACATTACTCACCAATGAAAAGACATTCTTTTGAATTGAAACATTACTCACCAATGAACAGACATTCTTTTGAATTGAAACATTACTCAGCAATGAACAGACATTCTTTTGAATTGAAACATTACTCACCAATGAACAGACATTCTTTTGAATTGAAACATTACTCCCAAATGAGCAGAAATTCTTTAGAATTGAAAAATTACTCACCAATGAACAGACGCTCTTTAGAAATGAAAAAATTACTCACCAATGAACAGACATACTTTTGAATTGAAAAATTACTCACCAATGAACAGAAATTCATTTGTTTTGAACCATTACTCACCGGTTAACAGATATTCATTTTTATTTAAACATTACTCACCGGTTGACAGATATTCATTTGAATTGAACCATTACTCACCAATGAACAGACATTCATTTCTATTGAAACATTACTCACCGGTTGACAGACATTCATTGGTTTTGAAACATTACTCACCGGTTAACAGACATTCATTTGTGTTGAACCATTACTCACCAATGAACAGACATTCTTTAGAAATGAAACATTACTCACTGGTTAACAGACATTCATTTGTATTGAACCACTACTCACCAATGAACAGACATTCTTTAGAAATGAAACATTACTCACCGGTTAACAGACATTCATTTGTATTGAACCACTACTCACCAATGAACAGACATTCTTTAGAAATGAAACATTACTCACTGGTTAACAGATATTCATTTGTATTGAAACATTACTCACCAATGAGCAGACATTCTTTAGAAATGAAACATTACTCACTGGTTAACAGATATTCATTTGTATTGAAACATTACTCACCAATGAGCAGACATTCATTTGTACTGAAACATTACTCACGGGTTAACAGAGTGCTGCGAATAGAAATAGCTAAACGTTCATTTAGCTATCTGTGGTTACATAGCAGCTTTTTTCAGCTGTTGCACCAATTCCCACTTAACAAAGACAAACTTGTAGAAGAAAAGATTGCAGGAAATACTTGGATGTCTCTTTTAGAAGGTCTCATGTCCTTTACAATGCCAGGACAGCCGATAGAAGGTCTCATGTCCTTTACAATGCCAGGACAGCCGATAGAAGGTCTCATGTGCTTTACAATGCCAGGACAGCCGATAGAAGGTCTCATGTCCCTTACAATGCCAGGACAGCCGATAGTTGCCATTACTTTGCTTTACTATATTGTCTGGTGCGTTCAAAAAGAAATTTGACGAACATTTAACGATGTGAACTGAACAAAAAAAATTAGATCAAATTTCCGTTCGATCAAATTTGCGTCGATCAATCTTCCCGTCGACGAAATGTCTTTCAAACGAATTTCCGGTAACCGTAATTTATAACATTATCGAATGGTTACGAACTGACATAGTTTAAAAGTCTTAAACTTTTGATTATAAATTGTATTTCCTTTTTTAAGCTATATATATGATAAGGTTATTTCTTATTGTGTCCGTACATTCAAACTGTTTCAGACTGTTAAAAATTCATTCATTTCTACGATAAGATAAGATAAGATAAGATACACAAACTCCAGATATATGGGATTCAAGGCACCACTAAAACATGGATCTCTAGCTTCCTCAGCCACCGACGCCAAGCAGTAGTGGTGGGCGGTACAAGCTCCTCCTTTGTCAATGTGAAGTCAGGGATCCCCCAGGGATCAGTCCTGGGCCCCTGTTTGTTCCTAGCATACATTAATGACCTACCGGAGAAACTGACATCACAGGCAAGACTGTTCGCAGATGACACAGCAGTGTATAGGACGATCGCCAACAGATCTGACCAGGACCAGCTACAACAGGATCTCAATCTGTTAGCTGAGTGGGAGATGAGCTGGGACATGGAATTTCACCCTGCCAAGTGCCAGACACTATCAATCTCTAGAAGTTGTACTCCTCTACACTACCAATACGAACTGCACGGCCATATACTTGAGCCAGTTTCCTCCGTAAAGTACCTGGGTGTTACCATTCAAAGAGAGGTCCGCTGGGACGAGCATATTAACAATGTATGTAGCCAAGCAAACAAGACCCTAGGGTTCTTAAGGCGAAATCTAAAGATTGGCAACTCCTGTGTAAAAGAAAGAGCATATAAAGCCTTTATCCGTCCGATTTTAGATTATGCATCTTCAATCTGGGACCCATTTACCCAGAAGAGCATTGACAGGTTGGAGGCGGTCCAGCGACGAGCAGCACGCTTTGTCCTAAACCGCTACAGGAATACCTCTAGTGTTGGCAGCATGCTAGAAACACTAGGCTGGTCACCATTGGAGAAACGACGACGACAATCCAGGCTCTCCATGATTTACAAGATAAATAATGGGCTGGTCCACTGTTCCAGTATTAAACAGAAACTCGTCCCTCTCCCCCATAGACAGCGACGAGGCCATGACAGGCAATTCAGGCTCATACCAGCAAGAAGCCAGTATAGGAGCTGCTCATTCCTGCCCAAGACAATCAGGGACTGTCAGGGACTGGAACCATCTTTCAAAAGGAACAGTTGAGGCGACAACACTAGACACATTTGTGTCTATTGCCTCAAGCCTTCAAACCCCTAGTGCATAATTTCCTCATCACCACCAGTAACAGAAACATGGCAAATCCCATCTACATGCATAGGAGCCAAAATGATCAATAAATTGATCGTGGGCCCTTAAGATATAGAAGAAGAAGATACTTTTATTGATCCAAACAAATGGAAATGTGGTTTGATTGCATTGTTTATTTTCAGCACATAAATAAAACAATTTGAACTCAGGACATCTACATAAAATTGTTTTACTTGTGGAAAAACTCTCTTAGTCTGGGACTTATTAGTTCTCATTTAGTTTTGTGACTTCTGGGGCAGCACGCTGGTAAAGTCGTACAGGCTGGGGAACAAAAGAGTTTTTATATCTTTCAGTCCTCGCCCCTGAGAGAAGAATTCGTCCCGAACGGGCCGATCCTAAGTGATGAAGAGGGTGGGATGTATCATCCAAAATTTGTTTAGTTTTGCAATAACATCTACCCGCTTTCAATAAGAACAACAAGGATGCTGACTAACTATCGCTATATTTTAAACCAAGAGTAAACGAGCGTGGGTGTGTCTGCGATAGGGGGTGTGGGCGTGTGGAGGTGGGGGAGCCAGTAATTCCACAGAGGGATGGACCCGATTTTAAAATAATAGCAGGGAAGAGGGAGGGGGCGCACTACCGGGCCCCATGACAGAAGTGGACAGCCGGTAGTTAGGGATCCTTGCCCCGAACGTAACCGCAGACAGACTCGATCCTCTCAGGCATCCCCCAGGCTGGTCATCGTGAATGACGTCACTGCTGTGGGGAGGGGGGGCGGTGGATTTCCACTGTTATTAATGACAGTTTATTTAATGGAAATAAGTGGCGGTCGTCGATGTCAGCTGACGTGCGGAGTACGATCGAAAAGAAAATGGCGGACAGCACATCTTTTAACATTCAAATACGGCAAGGTTGATTTATCTACTCTTGACTACGACAGCCTCATTAACGACGTCCCGAACGAATTTACTTTAAAAAATGTAATTCAAAGCAATGCCCCATACTCCAAAAAAATAATTTCTGCAATTCGTAGCGGAAATTACTGCCAGGGTTGTACCTATAATATGGTATTTGGCGCCCACGGCATCTGCCCCACCTGCCCTACCCTAGGCACGCCACTGTTTTGAAGTTGACAATAAAGTTAAAAATAGCACTGCCACTGGTAGACAGGAGCCTATGGGACGGTAGATGTGTTGACCCATAATGTTTTATTGGTTGATCGGGGCTGTGAGTTCCCATGACAAAGAGTGACTATAACGCTCAGCGGATAACAGACCTGGCGTGTGTGAATGCAATACATTGTGGGAATGGGGTAATGAAAACGTCAGGCACACACGAGCTGCGTGTACAGGAGAGGGAGAGAGAGTGGGGGGGGGGCTCGAGATCGATCACAGAATCTTCTTTCTTTATATAGATGTTTGGTTAATCAATTCTTGTAGATTTTAAACAATTTGATCCTACTTAATTGCTATCAACCAGATTTTTTTTCTAGTTTGAATCGAAAATAATTTATAAACATTATATTGCTTCTTGACCGGACACTGCACTAGGAATTGGTTTGCCTGGTTGTACACAATCCTGGCGATGTGATAATAATCTTTAAATTTATTCAGGTCAAGGACGTGACAAGTCTTATGTATTGCTGGACAATTTCTCTTATGTTTCATTTCATTTTTTTTTTTTTTTTGAAAGGTAAAAAATATCCAATGTCATTCAACAAATCCATAACTAAAAATCAACCACACAAATATTTGTTATGATTTTTTGGTAGATGGACGCTTAGGTCTAATGGCGAATGTTCATATAGACCCCTAGGTCTGACAAATGTACAGTTAGAGTCCTATAGGTCTAATGACAAATGTGTAGATAGACGCCTAGGTCTAATGATGAATATTCAGTAAGACGCCAAGGTCTAATGAAGAATGTTCAGATAGACGCCTAGGTCTAATGAAGAATGTTCAGAAAGACGCCTAGGTCTAATGAGGAATGTTCAGATAGACGCCTAGGTCTAATGAAGAACGATTAGACAGTCATAGGAAGCACTTTTATTTATATAATATAATTTGAAGACCATGGATATATAGTTTTTTTTTAAAACTTGTTCTTAAAAAGTAAAATGAAAAAAAAAGATGTAATATTTTAACCTCCATGATGTTTCTAGTGTTAAATATAATAAATAGCTATTGTAATACGATATCTTTCAATTAAGAAGTAATATGAAAAATTTACAATGTCAACATTTTTCTTCTTCTCCCCCCCCCCCCCCTTTTTCCCCCTAAAAAAAAATTTAATATTTTAACCCCCATGATGTTTCTAATGTTAAATATAATAAATAGCAATTGTAATACGATATCTTTCAATTAAGAAGTAATATGAAAAATTTACAATGTCAACATTTTTCTTCTTCCCCCCCCCCCCCCTTTTTCCGCCAACAGTCCGACATAATCCACCAGTCTGTGATGGAGCTAATCCACTCCGAGGACAGAGAAGAGTTCAAAAGACAGTTGACCTGGAACTCCATGCTGCCCCCAGACAAAGCTGGACTTGCCCTGCATGAAATCATGCTTCCAGGTCAGTGGCTCGTTTCTTCTCAGGTCTTTCAGTTCATTGTTTTTAATCAGCTAAAAGGGGTTGTGGTTATTGGTCCAAATTTTCTTTCTTAAACATTCTGATAGTACTAAAAAGAGTGAAAAGTTTCGACATGTGTGAATATCTGGAAAAAAAACATTTTATTTCTGGAACGAGAGAAAATTAATGTGTTAAAATGCAATAATTACAATGTTTTTTTTAAAATTGTTTCGTTATTTAATTTTGTTTCCAGAAAACATGAATCACCTCCACCGTTCTTTCACTGTGAGATTCCGATGTTTGCTGGACAATACTTCCGGATTTATAGTAAGGGGGCATTTGCATGTAGTGGACGTTTGTGTATTCAGTGTAGTCATGCCAACCCTTTAATTCATAACAATGCAAACATTGATAAGATCTTAAATATTGCAGTCGATTATTCTTGTATCGTTCATCAGCTATGTGTATCTTACAGACTCTAGAGATTAACGGATGGATACGAATCCTTCACGGCCAAGGGCCCAGGTCGGAGGAGCCACAATTGGCGCTGTTTGCCACCTGCTCCCCATTCGGGCCCCTCAGTTTGTTCGACATACCGTCCAGGGAGATGACATTCAAGACAAAACACAAAATGGATTACTCCCCGGTTACTATGGACAACAGGTAAGATGGCGACCCATGAGAGTTCCTCTGGTTGAACGCGTTCACTTATGAGCTTTGTTCACTAAAAAGCTTCCAGCGTCGTTATAGGGCATCTAAAAGTTGTGATATATATATATATATATATACCTTATACATTTGTAACGAGATATCGGCTATATAGGTACAGGTTCCCAATATGTGTCGACCAACGATACCAGTTATATCATTCCCATAGAAATGTCTGCATCACATGACGTTAACAATAACGAAGCGGTATATTTTGTGTTTTAAAAAGAAAGGAATACAGTAAAGAACAGAGCAATTACTGTACTAATTCACTTTGAACAGTTACGTTATAAAGTAATTGGTAAAAATAACGCTACACAGATGCTATTATTGGTTAAGAAAATTAACTTAATAATTAGGAGAAAATGAGTGCAGAAGGATTTAACAATGTATCTACTGCTCACTTAGTTTTCGACACCGGCGAATATTGAGTCATACAACATATTCTAAAATCTGAAGTAAGGTATAAATCGTGATTTATCAATCACATATGCCAGCTTTCAATTATTGATATTGCCCCCCCTCCCCCAAGATCTCCCAAGGGTGGTACCATAGAGGAGACGACGGTGAATAACACAATATCCTTTTTTCCCTCACTGCCTTTAAATAAATCACCTATTATTGCCCACGATTGATTAGACCTTGCCTTCTCTTGCTCCAAGTCGCCTCACTTCAAACATTGTTGCACTCTGTTTTCTGTTTCACTGACGTCGCCGGGGCCGCTGCGTCACTTGGCCCATTTTAATTACCTTTATGGCGACCTCAATTGCCTGATTAACTCAATTAATTAGGGCGCGGATCGATCTGCGTAACACGACAACATATGGCGCGGAGTTATACCGACCAGACAGTCGCTGTGGACTAACAATGGAGAAAATCCGAACTGGCAAGTCAAAAGAAGAGACAAAAATTAGTTCACTCGTTCTGCGTTGATCGCGTTATTATTCGGTGAACTGCATTTAAATGTATGATTCGAAAATAATTTTCGTATTAAAATACTTCAACTGAAAAAAGTCTTTAAGAAGGAATCTCGTAGTTGGAAACGATGTAATGGTGAGACTGTGGCCAGAGTGCATTGAAATGTATAAAAATAAAAAAAAAATTTAAAAAAGAAAATCTGGCGACGTGAAAATGTAGCCCCTTGATTGGTCCCTTGACGACAGGCGGTGGCGAATGAATATTTTATAAATGAAGTCAATTGTCTGGCGTCAATGTTGGCCAACTGCTAGGGATGAACTGAGATGCCGATATCTGGTCTCACCTTGATCATGTTGTAACCCAGCCTTGATAAAAAAAAGGAATATCCCCCTTTTTTTCATGAACGCCCCTTCTCCCACAACTTTGTAATGACCTTCAGTATGAAGGTATGGGTTATACAACACAATTGTATTGAGTTGATGTCTCTTTTATGATACACATTCATTCTTCACGATACCATATGTTCTTTTAAAAAAAAAAATTGGAACATTTGTAGTAAAATAGTTGAGTTTGGTGACTGTCCAGACATGTGCGAGTGATTCTCAAACCTTACTCAAAGGGGTTTAAACCAGGGACCCCCCCCCCGAAACATTTGCCATTTCCATTTAATTAAAACATGAGAAATGAGGAAAAATAAAAATTCAAGTGTCCTACTGGATCCGCATTCGTTTTGCTACCCAGAAAAATAATCAATAGCAGTTCTAAAATGATAGTCATTATGACATTTGACCTCAAACGTTCCCTTTCACAGCCCTCGGGGGGTGAAAGGTCACCGAACTTCCAAGACAAATATGGTGCGTGTATTTTGTGGACGAGATTTTCTACAAGATAATTAACTATCATTGTCAATTCATTAGTTAGTGTCAATTATAATAGTCCAATACTTCTTTGGAGTTGTAACCCCAAGAAGACAGCGGCCTCTTGTGTGCATTGGTTTAGATGACAGGCTTACAAGGAGAATAATGGTCTTAGAGGCACAGCCGTTATTATAATTTTGATGTTACTATCGTATAAGCGTAAATATGATTTTATTAATTCTTCATGTTATATCTATAAAATAATTTAAACACTATTATTGTTATGAAATGCCTGTGCAAGACTCTGACAGTATTAATCGTTGTGCTATTCCCAAGGGGTAAGGTGATGTTTGCCTACAGTGACCAGGAGCTAGCCACTAAATCTGGCTATGATCTCATTCACCCAGACGACTTAAACTACTTCTCGTCTGCCCATCAAGAATGTGAGTTAATGTTCTTTGATAGCCCCAGTTGCCGTATCTTACTTGTATTTACATTAATTTACCTTAATTTTCCTTACTTTACCTGTACTTACCTTAATTTACCTTACTTTATCTGTATTTACCTGAATTTACCTGTAATTTACCTTATTTTACCTGTAATTTACATGTATTTCTTCAATTAACATCGAAAGATGTTAATGACGTGCATACGTTTCCATCTTGAAGGGGAACGCTTCATTGTAGAATCAACTGTTAAGGTCGAGAATATTATACAATATATTTAAAAATGTTACTCCGGCTGTGATGGTACCCAAAGTAAATCCAGACTAGAGACCGATTTCGGCCTAAACCGAAACCAACACCAACGTTCAAAATGACCTTCTGCCTAAACCGAAACAAACACGAACGTTGAAAATGACCTTCGGCCTAAACCGAAACAAACACAAACGTTAAAAATGACCGTCGGTCTAAACCGAAACCTACACGAACGTTAATAATGACCTTCGGCCTGAGCAGAAACCGAAAGGCTTACCGAGAGTGTCGTCCAAAATCGAAAGATTTGGATATTTTGAAACTCGTTCGCGCATACGCTCTACGTACGTTGAGAAATGGTTGGGGAACGTATTGATATTTAAATTATAATTTCTAATTTTAAAAAAAATGAGATTATCGTGAATTTTATTCGATAACCATTTGATGAATTCTTAGGTTTCTACCATTTGATTTAAAAAGTAATTAAATTTGTAAAAAGTGTATTTCAAAGTTGTATGATAGGAGAAAATTGGACTTAAAGGAGGCAGGCAAAAATTATTTAATATAGAACCTTGGGCGGCCTTTTAAAATGCAAAACATAAAAAAAAAAATTGAAATGTAACCATGTTGCCTATGACAACATATATGCGCATGATGATGATAGATCAACATGAATGTCGCAAATAAATGAATTGAATAAACCTAGGGGTTCTCAAATATTATTTTTAAAAAATTATTTAAAAAAAAATAATAATATAAATAATATTACCATACTCGTAGTTTTTTTTTTTCCCAACAAAACTATTTACCTTTTTTTAAGCCTTGGTGAAATTTTATTTTTGAAAATATTGGACAAGTAGGTCGTCACGCAGCTGTGAGCAGTCTTCACAGAGGTTTAACCAAATATCATACGATGAAAGCAAGACGTCGAGAATAATGAATATCAGATTGGTGGCCAACAGACAGACAAAATTATAGTCTGGATTCTGGTCGACGGCCGAAAGCCTCAATTACTTTTGTCCGAAACCGAAACTACGCCGAAAGGGATAAAATGACAATTTTTGACGCTCAAACCGAAACCGAAATTTGGTCGGCCTCTCATCCAGACCTGTGAACCAAGCATTTCAAAGTTAAGCTTTGTTTAAACCTTTTTTTCCTTCATTATTTCCAGTAATCAAAACAGGCAGCTCAGGTTTAATCTCATACCGCTGGCAAACCAAACACCAGCACTGGCTGTGGCTGCAGTCAAGCTGTAAGGTCATCTACAAGAACAGCAAACCTGACTTCATCATTTGTACACACCGGCAACTGACGTAAGTTGGTGTCCACCAAATGTGTCCGTCACTGGTCACAATTTATCGTTTTCCATAGCCAAAAAAATAGTTGAATGCGTTTTGCTTTTAATGGGGTCTGAATAAAACTGCGATTTTGAACTATCAATCTTTTGATTATCTGTTTGTCGTCAACTGTATCTTTCCTTGTCTTCCTCTATTTTAGTGAAGACGAAGGCAACGACCTCTACGGCAAACGGGGCAACGAGTTCAAACTGCCCTACCCACTCCTGGACATCGACATGTGCTCGGGTTTTGGATTCGGCGACGACGAGCTCGTGACGAAATCGAAGACGAGCAAAAGCAAGAAGAAAACGAGCAGCGCCAGTCCAGGAAACACCAGCAACAGCACCACCAGCGGCACGCCGACCAACTTCAGCGCCACCGTGAGCACGACGGCAAAAGACTACCAGAACGGGAAGAAGAGAAAAACGGCTTGCATCATTGGAGGGATACCGCCATACTGCTCCTACCCAACTGGGTTCACGTCCTACGATGGCGGTTCGGGGGAGATGAAGGCGCCCGACCCCATGTACTCGTACGCTACGAATAATTTCGGTTTTGAAACCGATATGTATCGGAGTCAGGGATATGGTGCTTTGACTCCAACTGTGTACCCATCCTCGGATCCATACGGCAGGTTAGATGTGGATAAGCATGGATATTTCCTAGATCACAGACAGTACCAGCATTCGTCGCTGCCGTATTCGAATAACGGGTACAGTGACTTCGTGCCGCCGGCGAAATACGGCTACGACGTGCCGAAATATGGATTCGATTCTTACAGTTTGGATTTAAGCAAGCGTGTGGAGTGTGGGGATATATCCCAGTTTCACCCGGATGTTAGGCGATACGCATTCGATTATCACCATCCATCTTACCCTCATCTTGATCACCCTTCCCTCCACTCGGCCGACCGATTCCCGGCCAGCCGACTCAACGTCTCGTCCATAGACGCCGTGGATCTCCGGAACCCTGCGGCGATTTTCGGTTCAAACTCGTTTATGAACACCGTAGAAGCGCCCTGCGCATCTTCGTCCCCATGTTCGGCTTCTTCCGTTTTCAAGGCGGTGCCGAATTCTAACCACGGGAACAACAAAGACCAAACGGGGTCGAAGCTGCACAAAATGGGACCAGGATTGGTGACGATGGACACCGCGCCTTTATCTATGCCTTTTGACGTGGCCAACTCACTTCCTCACAATACTGTCATTAAATCGACCCGCCACTCGGAGTCCTCGGCCCTAATGTCTTCGTCCCACAACATGTCCCACCCTCTGTCACAGACAGACTCGGAGAATGTCCTGTCCCACCAGCAGGAAAACAGGAACCCGTGGAATTCGTGTAGCAAGTCTTTGAACGAGCGTCTCGTGATGACCTCAGTGGAGTCCACCCCCCAGAGCGGTGATCTGGTCAACAGCAAGTGCAGGAGTAACCCGGAAACGAGCTCTGACGGAACGTCTCGCGGTGGGGATTGTGGGGATGACCTGATTAAGAGTCACGAGAACCAGCTGAGGTATGTACCTGTCTAAATCAACATTTTAACTGATGGCCGCCTCTCTAAGAGTCTCACTGTTCTTGGTTGAAATAGATCAATGTACATCTTGGCTGAGAACCATAACGTGGCAATGTATAACATTTGTGGGTAAATAGGGTAGTTAAAAACAACTTCTTTCATATTAATTTTCATAAATTAGTCATAAATTGTTTATGGGAAGAGACGTAAATAAATGCGGTTTGCATCGGGGTTAACCAAACTTTTCAGTTTGACAGACAGTCGGACAAGTTACACAATTGCAGGAGAAACCGGTGCCGGATGTATTAATTATCTGTATTTATGTGACCATATATGTTTATGTCTTGTGGACCGACAAAATATGACTGCTGGATCGGTGCCCGTCCACGGACCACACTTTGGCGAACCCCAGGGTTTAAATCCTCAGTGTTGGTTTGATGTCGGAAATGTACCATTTGTTCAACATCGTTCACTGTGGAAATTGTTGTTTTTTTTGTCAGAAACTTTCGATATCAATTGGCGATTCGATTACATAAAACTCAAGTCAAAAAGTATTTTTCAAGTTTCATGGCAAAATAATCTTACGAGAAAGACTCGCATAATCACATACTCATTAAGCATACCATTAGTTGATTATAAATGTGTTGCTCGTAAATTAAGACAGAAGGACATTGGAAAGCTGTTCATTTTAGTATACAGTAGACATAACTGGACAAAACCGAGGACAATTTCTGCCCTCAATACACTGAAAAAAAGTGATTCTCGGTGTGGATTAGTTTAAAATGACATTAGCACTCCTTGATTTGTGAAGTACATAGGATTTAGTCGTTAAATTCAATATTGAAGTAAATTTAATTACAAACTTTGTGCCCCCCCCCTGATTTTCTCATCTTAAGTGATTGCCCCCTTATCCCCCCTTCTCCCCCCCTCCCCCCCCCAACTTCGCATGGCCCTGTATACGAATAGTGGGTAATGGCAAGTAAACTTGAGACAGAAGGTCCCTCTTGGTGTATCTCTACTCTTAAAATTGAGTTTGCTTACTTTTTTTTTGTTTTTTGTGTGTTTACTTTTCATAAACACTTGCCACTCCCACAGACTCCACGAGAAAGAATCCACAGTAACCGGAATTCCCGTCTCTGTCGTCAAACAATCACCCTGGCTTCACACCAGCAGCAACACCACCAACCACAACAACAACAACATCTCCAACCCCATGAACGGCGGCAGCAACAACCTCTCTGGCGGCGGCCACCTTCTCATGACGGACAGCCGGGACTGGAGTGGGAGCAACGACTACTACAACAAAACTCCGAGAGTCATCTTTCCTGATCCATGTCATTCGGTCAAGGTAAAATTCGTTTTTTTATGTTTTTATTATCTTCTATATCAGACCTGACTTTCCCTCAACAACGTTTACTTTATAAGTAAACTAAAAAGTTCATCCACTGAGCTTATAAATAAAGTTTGATTAATGCTTAAAACAAAAAAAAAATCTAGGCCAAGTTAAAAAGTTGCTTTCCGAGATTTTAAAAGTCATCATTAACATGGGATTGTTTGCAATTTTTATTTTCAGCATCTCGGATTAAAAGTGTTTGAAAGAGGGGACAATCCCTTACTCAGTTTCTCGGAGATGACCCATACACTGATGAGCTCAACACACTGACAAGTACAAGAATAGTGCATTGTGCATGAGCGGTCAGCGATCTGTCAAAGATCAAGATCATTGTTGGGCGTGACGGGAAAAAAAATCTCGGCGTCCTCGTCATACTGAATGCCGGTCAAACTATATCAATGACGCTAGACCTGCTAACCTCGGGAAGACGCTGTTCGATATAGTCAAAGCAGCGTAGTGACCACTTCAAGACGTTTTATCCGCACCGATACATTGCATGAACACATGCCCAAAGAAACACGTAAATGGGAGTCGCAATGCTAGTCACATTCGGACCTTCTTCGCGTAAGTTGAATTGGACTATGTCTTCAGCCTCGGTTTTTTAGTTAAGTAAGAGAAAAGGTACCCGAAAGTGTTTTCTTTAAACGGATTTCGCTGGTATATTTTTTAAATCTAAATGGATGAAAAGTCCAGCATCGCGTAGAAAGGTAATATGAGAGTCGCCATTGTTGATTCTTATTGCGAGTCACTTGTAGTTCTGCTCGTCGCTGAACTCCAGTAATGAGAGGATTTTGCTGACCATCTGGCCGAGCTCACAGTTATCAGTCAACCCCAAATCTTGCCTTTCTACTGGCGCCATCTCCACCACTGACTGAACACAACAATGACTCTAATCATACCTATGCCCGTTGTCAAGTCAAGTTGTCCATTACTGACATAGACGAATTTCTTGTGTGCTCAAAACGGCGTCCGACAACGTCATGGTGCGCATGGGATCTTAGATCGAAGTCGGTACATTATAGATAAACCTACGACTGAAGTCAGTGTGTGTCCACTGTACGATTCTCTAATATAGTATTCTAAAGAAGTAATAATTGTTCATGTGTTTTGGGGCATTCAGATAAACAACATAATTCCGATGTAAAAATGTAGTGATTTTATTCTGACCTTGTTTATGAATGTTGATCATGTTGTAAATTGGTGTTTTAGTATTTTGTTGCATGCGGGACATGTCCGCCCGTAAGACAGGAGGCATTTTTTTAAAGTTTACTCAATACAATTAATCAGGTGCGGGCGCGGTGTGATCGTTTTAGGACGTAAACTCTTTAGGTTTGACCAAAACAAATCTCACGAAGAGAGGCTTTCTTGTAGATATACACAGAGATGCGTTATTATAGATACAAAGAGGGGCTTTATTATAGATGCACAGAGGGGCCTTATTATGGATACACAGAGTGGCTTTATTATAGATCAATGGATAACAAACAAGTTCCATCTTGTATTCGATGAATAACTTCCTATTCAGTCCTCTGCCACCGACGAGGCGTCACGGGCAGGTACAGTCAGCGATCTGCGTCAAGGCGTGAGAGCTGCTGAAGGTTCATGTTGCGGACTTTTAGGCTGTCTCTAACACAGTCGTCCCACAGCCGACGTCGTCTTCCCCTGGCCCTGAAATCTCTGAGTGCCGGTCATTGTAGGCCTCTTGCACTGGGATGACGATCAGTCCAGATAAGACCGGGTCCAATCGATTACTTAACGTTTAGATTTTCATAGTGCGCTTGAACTTCAATATGTTCACGGGATGTAATGCTAAATCCCAATAGCCCCACATTGTCCCAACAGGATGTAGAGCTGACCCTAATAGCCCCACATTGTCCCAACAGGATGTAGAGCTAAATCCCAATAGCCCCACATTGTCCCAACAGGATGTAGAGCTAAATCCCAATAGCCCCACATTGTCCCAACAGGATGTAGAGCTGACCCTAATAGTTCCACATTGTCCCAACAGGATGTAGAGCTAAATCCCAAAAGCCCCACATTGTCCAAACAGGATGTAGAGCTAAACCCCAATAGCCCCCATTGTCCCAACAGGATGTAGAGCTAAATCCCTATAGCCCCACATTGTCCCAACAGGATGTAGAGCTAAATCCCAATAGCCCCACATTGTCCCAACAGGATGTAGAGCTAAATCCCAATAGCCCCACATTGTCCCAACAGGATGTAGAGCTAAATCCCAATTAAAACCCTATAACCCCACATTGTCCCAACAGGATGTAGAGCTAAATCCCAATAGCCCCACATTGTCCCAACAGGATGTAGAGCTAACTCCCAATAGCCCCACATTGTCTCAACAGGATGTAGAGCTAAATCCCAATAGCCCCACATTGTCCCAACAGGATGTAGAGCTAAATCCCAATAGCCCCACATTGTCCCAACAGGATGTAGAGCTAAACCCCAATAGCCCCACATTGTCCCAAATGGATGTAGAGCTAAATCCCAATAGCCCCACATTGTCCCAACAGGATGTAGAGCTAAATCCCAATAGCCCAACATTGTCCCAACAGGATGTAGAGCTAAACCCCAATAGCCCCACATTGTCCCAACATGATGTAGAGCTAAACCCCAATAGCCCACATTGTCCCAACAGGATGTAGAGCTAAACCCCAATAGCCCCACATTGTCCCACCAGAATGTAGAGCTAAATCCCAATAGCCCCACATTGTCCCAACAGGATGTAGAGCTAAATCCCAATAGCCCACATTGTCCCAACAGGATGTCGAGCTAAACCCCAATAGCCCCACATTTGCCCAACAAGATGTAGAGCTAAATCACAATAACCCCACATTGTCCCAACAGGATGTAGAGCTAAACCCCATTAGCCCCACATTTGCCCAACAAGATGTAGAGCTAAATCACAATAACTCCACATTGTCCCAACTGGATGTAGAGCTAAACCCCAATAGCCCCACATTGTCCCAACAGGATGTAGAGCTAAATCCCAATAGCCCCACATTGTCCCAACAGGATGTAGAGCTAAACCCCAATAGCCCCACATTGTCCCAACAGGATGTAGAGCTAAACCCAAATAGCCCCACATTGTCCCAACAGGATTTAGAGCTAAACACCAATAGCCCCACATTGTCCCCACATGATGTAGAGCTGACCCTAATAGCCCCACATTGTACCAACAGGATGTAGAGCTGACCCTAATAGCCCCACATTGTCCCAACAGGATGTAGAGCTGACCCTAATAGCCCCACATTGTCCCAACAGGATGTAGAGCTAAACCCCAATAGCCCCACATTGTCCCACCA